TCCTACAACCGCAAGCAACTGAACCCGGATGACAGCATGAATGAGCTTGGAAGCACTGTTCTCCCAGAGTCTCCGGAAGGAGCTTTTGGCTGGCACGCTGGCTTCAGAGAGGACTTGACTTCCGGGAAGACCCCAGGTAGAGGATCCACGAGGCCATGCCCGGATAGCCAACCTGTAGCTCCGCCCTAAGAGCAGGGTTGTGGTGAGCTGCGTGAGGGCTTGACACGGACACATGCTCTGCCTCCCCGAGCCTAGACTGGATTTCAACTTGGGTATGTGGTTTTCTGCACACAGGCCTTGGACATTTCTTGTTTCAGGTATTTTCAGGGCCCTACATATTTTTAAGAGGTGTCTTTATCTTTTTTTTTTTTTTGAGTGAGAGTCTCACTCTGTTGCCCAGGCTGGAGTGCAGGGGCACATTCACAGCCACCCCAGGGTCAACCTGCTGGGACCAGGCGATCCTTCCGCCTCAGCCTTCCAAGTAGCCGGAACTACAGGTGCACGCCACCACGTCCCGCTAATTTTTTCATTTATTGTAGAGACAAGGTCTTGCCAAATTGCCCAGGCTGACCTTGAACCCCCAGACTCAGGCAATCCTCTTGTCTTGGCCTCCCAAAGTGCTGGGATAACAGACTTTAAGCCACCACGCCTGGCCAAGGGGTGTCCTTAAACGTGCCATCTGTTGCTAGAACTTAGAAAAACGACGGGCAGTGTAACAATCCCGCAGCAAGAGGTTATGCTGAATTCTCACTACTTTTAGTCACGTGGGCTTGTCTAACCATCACATTTGTGAATGACGTCTTCCATTTCTTCTAAGGTTGCTTGTTTTTCCTTATTTACCAGCTCGTGTCTGGGTCTTCCTGAGAGGCTGGGGTCTCCGGCAGATAACGACTCTGCCCTTCCTAACCGTGAAGGCCCTGGCAGGAACCACGTCTCCCATCTGGGAAGGTGTTTGCTGGAGGTGGGGGGGGGGGGCGTCCCCAACAAAGAACACCTCGGCGCAAGCCAAAGTCCAGGTTGGGTGGGCAGGGCGTCGGGGGGGGGGTGTTGGGGCAGCAATGGCAGATTGATTATATACAGAACTGATCAGGTAATAAAGAGGCTGTGCACTGGCTCACATCTGTCATCCCAGCACTTTGGGAGGCCAAGACGGGGTGCATCGCTTGACCCCGGGAGTTTGAGACCAGCCTGGGCAACACAGAGAGTTCTCATCTCTACCAAAAAAAAAAAAATCAAAAGATCAGCTGGATGTGGTGGTACACACCTGTAGCCCCAGCACTTTGGGAAGCTGAGGCGGGAGGATCCCCTGAGCCTAGGAGGTCGAGGCTGCAGTGAGCCATAATGGTGCCCCTATGAGACAGGAGATGGCTAGAAAAAGGTCAGGCAGACAGACAGGCAGGTCCTATGGTAACAATGTAGCAAACTCCCAGGAGGCCTCTCAGGCTCAGCATTGGCAAACAAGCTCCCTGTCAGCCTATCAAGCCAGAGCTTAGGTGCCCACGGCTGGGATCAAAAAGCAACCAATCGGTTCACCATTAGACCCCTGCCTTAATACTGACCAATCAGAATAGCTACAGCTCACAGCTATAGTGCTAGCCCATCGGCTCGGACTTAGGGCTATATAAGCCCCAGGTTTTCAGAGCCAGGTAGGCAACCCCTTTGGGCCCCCTCCCGCTGTGGGAGCTTTTTCTGTCCTCAGTAAATCCTGCTTTCTCATCCTCCGGCTGTCCATTCCCTCGTCCTTCCTGGGCATGAGACAAGACCCTTGACCCTGAAGAGCTGCAACCTTAAGAGCTGCAGGTCATCGGAGTCGAAAAGTCATGCACCCCAGAGGCTGGCTTGCCAGCCGACAGAGCCAGCTGAACCAGGACAGCTGCCAGAGGGAGGCGGGACTCCAAAGCCGAGGCACCCTGGGGGCTAGGCTTGCCAGTCACCCCAATCACAAAACTCAGGGCTTGGCTGGCCAGCCCACTAGCGCGGACACTTGTGGGGCTAGGCTTCCCAGCCCCGCCGCAACCCTCTCTGGGGTTTGGCTGGCTGACCCATTGGGCTGACACTCTTGGAAAAATCCGCATCACCTGCACACATCCGGGGCAACAGAGTGAGACCCTGACTCAAAAGTTTAAAATAGATTAGGATTATGAGAACCCCAGGGAGAAAGGGCCTGGCAACAATGGAGAGAGACCGGCCCACGCCCCGGGGCCTGGGCTGAAATCAGGGGCCAGGCCATGCTCTCAGCTGTCACAGATGAGGGGGTGGGCCCACGTGCAGACACTCCCCAGCGCGGCACCCGGCATCAAGGCACACCTTGCACCCGTAGCCTGGTCCTGGGCGCAGGTCTCCATCTAAGAAGACGGCCCTCGGGGAAACGGCCCCTTCCGGGAGACCAAGGGACCAGGCAGGGAAGGTGCAGGGGCGTCTTCCGGTGCGACAGTGAAGACATCCTGGATGAACCGCAGGGACACACAGCAAAGGCCCCAACGCCAGGAGTCGAGGCGAACCGTGTCGGGCCACGCCCCCGCGGAAGAGAAGCCCTGGTGGCAGATCGGAAGAGTGGGGGAGGGGAGGACAGCACAGGGTGTCGTTTCAAGCTCCCCCCACTCGTTCGTTTCGAGGGTCACCGCTTCAGAGAGGCTGGCTGAGGTCACCTCCACCAAGTGGCAAGAGTGACCGCCACCCGGGACTGAAGTCACACCACCAGCCAGGACAGTGAGGACGGGGTGGCCCCGTGCTATTCCTGCAAAGGCAGACGCTGCGTCTACTCGCAAGGAGCTGCCCTGAAGAGCTTGGGTCCGTCCACCACAGGTCAAGGTCGCCAACCCTGGCAGACCGAGCAGCCACGCAGGGTGGTCAAAGCCACACGGGGCCATGCTGACGCCCCAGGCAGGACACAAGTGCGGTGGTGCCCAGGGCCTGACTCCCGGGCCCTGGGGCTGTGGCCAGTGTCCCTGTCCGCGGGACAGTCCCGAGGCGCCAAGGGTGCAGGGCCGGAACCCCAGCCCGCGCTCATGGGCGCAGAAGCACCGCCTCACTGGGCCTGCAAGTTTCTCCAGGTCTGCAGCTGCGTCCACGCTATTATTGTTATTATTATTATCATTAAGCTTGAGTACTATTATTATTAAATCTGAGTATTATTATTATTTGAGTTGGGGTCTCACTCGGCTGCCCAGGCTGGAGTACAGGGGTACTACTCTCCCGGCCACCGCAGCCTCGACCTGCTGGGCTCTGACGATCCTTCCGCCTTAGTCTTCCAAGGAGCAGGAACTACAGGCGAGCACCACCACACCCAGCCAACTTTTGACTGATTGTAGCGACGACATCTCGCCAAGTTGCCCGAGTTGGTCTCGAACCCGCAGGCTCAGGCAATCCCCTCACTCGGCCTCCCAAAGTGCTGGGATGACAGGCTGAGCCACTGAACCCGGCCTATGATTATTATTATTGCTGCTGCTGCTGCTGCTGTTGTTGTTATTATCAACAAGTGGGGGCCAGGAAGGAAGCGCCGAGGACGGGAGCCCGCCAGGCCCAGCCAGGCCCGGCCCCCCACCAGCCCCACTGGGCAGCTGCCGGGCGTGCACAGATGTGAGTCCCCAGAGTGGCTTCCGAGGTCACCGGGTCCATTGCGCAGCACGCATGCGGCCAGCCAGATGCAGTCCCACCACGAGATGGCACCCGCGCCTCAGCAGCCAGGGGTGACCCCGGCCGAGGGGTGACCCCAGCCGGTTCCTGGAGCGGAGGTGGGCGTGGCCTCCAACCCACCGGAAAGCCGCAGGCCGGGGTGTCCCCACGGCCCCCAGGGAATCCCACACGCCAACAAGGTCAGGGACACGCCACAGGATCTGAGGTCAGCCGCGGGGTCACGCAGGCAGCGCGCACGGACCCACAGATGTGGGGGTCTACGCAGGCCCGAGGGCCGGGCCCCAGATGTCCTAGAAGCCGCCTTTGGTGACCTTTCCCAGAATCCCTCTTCCCAGCAAAGCCAGGAAGACTGGAGGGGCCCCACAGGCACCTGCGCCCTCAGCCCCGGCAGCGCCCCCGGCAGACATCACGGGTCGATCGCAGCATCGCTCCATGGAGACCCGGCCCTCAAGAGCGACGCCCAAGAGCCGGGACACAACCGCACGAGTTGGCACGTGACAAGACAAAACCCTCGGCCGGCCGGGACCTCGCAGGACTCCGGCGGGAACGTGGCTTTCCCTGCCTCCCCACCCCAGTTGCCGCCGCCAGACACAGAGGGCACACGAAGTGGGGCCACTCGCAGCTACCACACGCCTTTGTGCAGACGAGAAAAGGTGCCCCTCGCGGCAGGCAGACGGCTCCACGCCAGGACGCAGCCTCACAGCCAGGTGCCCTTGTGCAGTGCACAACCTCGACAGCCCTCCCCAGCAACCCTGGCCCAGAGCAGCCGTCCCAGAGGAGCTGTGCTGAGGTCAGAGTGGCCACCCCGTTCTTGGCGAGGCTCACGGATGAAAACTCTGGCGATCCGGCCCCAGAGAAACACACCCACTCACTCACACGAGCCAGGGATGACAGATCACAATCACGGTTCTCTTCGCGGGAGACCACCAGCACCCAAGCCCAACGCCCTGGAAGTCTGCCGGTTAACCTGGGCGGGCCCCGGGCGGGCCTCTGGTCCCCGAAGGCCACCGGCAGGGAAGGCACTGCAGAGGCTGCGGGCACAGGAAGGCCGCTGGGTCCCGCGTCCAGTCCCAAAGGTCCCTGGGGAGTCCCCCTCGCCTCATCGAAGAGTGCGAGTCTCGCGGGTGCCACTTCTGGATGCCAGCAGCCACTCCCGAGGCGCCAGCGGCGGTTCCGTAGCCTCCCTCTGGGGGGCATACACGAGGACTCGGGTCCCGGCCCAGCCTCCGCCTGTCCCCGGCGGAGTGGCCCATCGAAGGAGCAGGCCCTTCCTGCGTGGGCACAACGCGGCTGCCTCTGCACGCCGGCACCCGTCACGGGCCGGCATCTCTAATTGCCGCCCCCGCCGGGAAGGCCACCGGGTGTCACCTGCACAGCTGCAGGTGTGGATGGCGGCTCAGTCTCTCCATCAGCTCCTCCTCCCTCGGCTCCTCCAGGACGTCCCTGTGGAATGGGAGGATGTGGGTGACCAGGGTCTCCAGGGAGGGCTGGGGGCCTCCGGGGCGGGGGAGAGGGCCTCCAGAGAGGGAGATGGAGGAGCTTCTCGGGAGGGGCTGGGAGCCTCCCAGGAGGGGGAAGGGGTCCCCCAGGGAGGGGAGATGATCTCCTGGGAGGGGGGTGGAGGGCTGGCTCCAGGGAGGGGGAGTCCGGCGCTCAGTTCCCCCCGGAGGCCAGGGAGGCTCCCGTCCCCACACACCTGAACATGAGCTCCACTGTCATCTGGTAGGTGGCCTCTGGTGTCCCAGCAGGGGGCTGCAGGTGGCTGTGGGGGTCCCACTTGTAGAGGAAGTTCTGGCGGGCGGGAGGCGTGGCCAGTGAGTGCAGGCCGAGTGAGGCCGGCCCCGCCCCTCCAGGGGGTTAGCAGCCACCAAGGGGCCGAGAGCTCACCCCGGATGCCCGGTGCCGGCCCCACGCCCAGGGCCCTCTTCCACCGGGCCTGAGCGCCCAGAAACCCCCATGAGTCGAATGTCAGGCCTGTCCCAGGGGGCCCTGGCAGCCAGGGAGACAGCACTGAGCCAAGCAGGAAGGACGCAGGTTGGACTTGGGGCCGAGTTGGACCCAGCGGGGCCCTCCTGCCAGAGCCCTGCCCGCCAGGACCCTGCGCGGACCCTCCCGCCAAAGTCCCATCGCTAGTAAGTGGAAATCGGTCCCAGAGAATGCCTGGACAGGGGCTCCAATACCTCCAGAATCAGAGCCAGGAACAGGTTGACCCAGATGACGGACGACACCAGCCACCACAGCACAAAATACACCGTGGACCACCTGCGGGCAGCGGCCCCCAAGGCCCACTGTGAGCCCAGAGGGCACTCGGACAGCTGCAGGGGGGCTGCGGCCACTGAGTCGTGCCGGGACCCCGAGACGTGTACTCCCGTGTCACCCCAGAGGCAGCCACCCCAGGCCCAGAGGCACAGAGCAGGCGGCCGAGGCGACAGCCGGAGGTGTGGCTGGGACCAAAGCCGGGACCACCTGGCCTGGTCCGGCCTCCTCAAGCTCCTCGGCCTCCTGGACTCCCCACATGCCCCAGAGAGCCCCCAGAGGGGCAAACCGAGTCACAGAACACCACCCGAGAGCCACAGGGCAGGCGTGGGGAGGGACACGGCTGAGGACCCCGCCTGCACCGCCCAGCCTGGCACCGCGCAGGAGGGGACC